ATTTTCCTTGCTTTTGCATTTTGTGCATATTTTGAGCTATGTAGTTTCTCTGTAGAAATGCACTCTATATTTGGTATAAAAATATGCACAATATGCGATTCACCTACATTGTAGGTGTTTTTTTTAAAAAAAGCCTAGAATCAGAAAACACTTGTGAACTAAGTGGACCTTGGTCTTTTACATTTGTATAGCGCCTTTCACGTCGGGAGGACAACTCAAGGCGCTGGACAGTCAGGGATCCGCACCCGAGCTCGTGGTTGGGATGTGGAGGGTGTGTAGGGTGAGGAGGATGACTGAAGCCACGATTGACAAGGAGGGTTTTGAGAGGGGTCTTGAAGAAGGCAAGGGAGGTGGTGAGGTGGAGGGACTCAGATGGAGTTCCAAAGGGTGGGGGCAGAGAGGCTAAAAGCCCACTCACCAATATGTTCCTCAACCTACAGGTAGCTTTTTGGAGACATGAGAATTGTATTTTACAACCTGAGGAGATAGTGAAACCCAGAATGGGCATAAAAGATAGAATTTGGAATGGAGCTATCGAAAGGTAATGTGGTTACTGCTGGTTAGATGTACAATGCGTGAAGAAACTGTCTTTGAAAGAAAAAATATTATTTTAAATAGAGTTGAGGGATGAATGTAGATTATTGCTGTGAAGAAGGAACAGTGGGAGGGAGAACAGATGGAGAAATCCTGAGTTGCTGGGTTGAAGAGTCAGAGGACGACCCATCAACTACATCAGATTGATTTGAGGCAAACAAATTAGCCATAAATATACCTTTGACTGAAGTTAAGATAATTTTTTAAAAGACTTGTAAATGCTTTGAAGATCAGTGTTCAGGTGTATCATTGTAAATTGTGCAAAAAGACCTTGCAAAGAAAATAGTCCTTAGCGTGTAAACCTTTGCATGATTCACAAATATGAGTTGTTGAGTAAGAAGAATGAATATCTATTTCCAAGTGTAAAATCTATGTCCCCGCAACTTTTACAGAAGCATTCAGGTTAATTTTGTGGTCCAATTCTCCAATAAATAATTGAATTGGACAGCCTGGAATGTAAATCCAAACCACTGTCCTTGACAAGTCAAGCTTTTGCTTTCCAATTAGAACAAAACTGCTGAGTATAGTATGATTGATAGGTAAAGCTGGGCGGATTGATAATTCAAACATCTTTCACTGAATGAGACTGTCAGCCTCTGAGCCACATAATAAGTACCGGATGTCCATTTAGACTTTCTTTCAAATGTGATCACCTTGCAGCCTTGGGGCAGTTTATGGAATATTGTGTCACTCTTCATATTGAGCTGCATCTTATGCTTCAAGATGGCGAAGGTTGGAAAGTAATTTGGCTGTTAAGAGGAAACATGATGCATACTTGAGGGAGAAGGGAATAGAGGGGTATAGAAGAGTGCATTAGGATGGATGGAGGTTTATATGGAGTATAAATGTCAGCACAGCCTCATTAGGCTGAATAGCCTAGTTTTGTGCTGTGTTATTTTAAGTAAAGATATATTCTGAAATTAAGAGTAAGCAGTATGGCTGTAGCTTGAATATACATGTGTATATGCTCATTAAAAAACAAAATCAGAGAGGTTGAGGTGTTCAAATACAAGCTGTAATAAAAATTTGAAGTAGCAAAATTCACAAAGCTGCATTCAAGCATGTTCCTTTTTGAAAAGCCCCACATGAAGAATGAGACATCATGTATAATGCAGTTTAAATGAAGAACAAAGCAAGCTATCAGTGCATTCTATCAAAAATAACCAAAGTGATTTGTTTTTACAGTCTCATTTCCTCACAGTTAGATTAAGATGATTGTAGTCAAAATTAAACAACAATTTATGGATTTTTTTGTAGAAATCTTCATAGAGCTGAATATCACAATAAGAGTAATATTTCCATTTGATAAAGCACTTTCACTGTGGGAAGACATCTCAAAGTGCTTCACAGGATATACTGTAAAGTTTAGTGACTGTTTTGTATGTGAACTCCCATGAACTCTTAAAAGGATCTGGACAGCAATTTAATTGAACTAGTTTTGCTCTAACTGATCAGGTAAAACATTATCATATACAGACATACTTTGGTCAATATCACTTTTTTATCTGTCACTTTTATCTAGGAACACAACTCTTCCAAGTCAAGAAAGATGTCTACTGTGTCCTGTGATTATTTTTATTTTACATCATGCATTCATTTTAACCTCCCAAAAATCTATCTTTCTTTTTCAAACCCTTGGATTTAAGTAATTGTGCTGCAATCATTTCGTTTAGGAAGAGACATCGGCAGTGCTGCACTCCATCTTCCTTGCTTAATGTGGTCACACTTGAGCAATGAGTAGCATTTACAGTATCTAGCATCTTCATTCTAGAAAGTCTGCATGAATTGTGGCTATGACTCAAAATCTCACTCAATGCATAAGTCATCCATCTTTTCTTGCTCATTGTGATACTTTCAGCACAGGCTCTCTATTTGTTGATTTATGAATCCAGAATCCTTTCCAGCTACTGGGGTCACCCTGGTTCAGTTGGTAGCAAATTTGCCTCTGACTCAGAAGGTTTTGGGTTCAAGCCATGCATCGGCTGGCACTCCAATGCAGTGCTAGCGAAGAACTGCATTGTTTGACTTGCAGACCTTCGGATGAGATCTTAAACTAAAGTTCGGTCCATCTATTCAAGTGGACATTAAAGATCCCATGATATTATTTGAATAGAGAAGTTGGCTTGTCCTGGCCAACATTCCCCCAGATAAAAAAAAAATCATTCACTTGGCAATCTATTTTCACAGAACGCAGTAATAAAATGAATGACCAGTTTTATCTGGCAAGGATGAGGCTGATGCATTCCTGGAGACTTAGTGAAGGAGAGAATGCAGATGACAGATTTCTGGATGATCCGGAGATTGTGGATGATGGAGCTGGGATGGCTGCCAAGCAGTGTGTTGGAGAAGTCATGTCTGAAGGTGATGAAGGCATGGAATAGAGTTTTAGGCGATTGGGGGTAAATTAGGGATTAAGTTGAAAGGCTTAAAAGAGAGCTAAGGCAAACAAAATGCCAAGATTTTGCACTGGCTCCTTTAATTGGAGTTTAGCAGCCATGGAGATTGATGAGGTCAGTACAAGGGAGCAGATATACATATTAGAGAGACAAAGGTTAAAAAAGACAAAGGGATGACTGATACAGCTTAGAGAAAGCATGTAAAGCCAGTACCATTCTTAATACAATCACATATGTAGTAAATGAATGAAGGGAAGAAAACTAGGGTTGGAACTCATTCGTCATTACTTCGGTCAGTGGTTGAAGAGTTGTTGTTGCTCAAAACGAAGAAGAGATACTGATGCATCCTCACATCCTCCCAACGTGAAAGGCGCTATACAAATGTAATTTTGTTGTTGATGCAGGGTTCATGTTGAGTTTTGTTGAGGATTTCCCTCAACATTTATTGCCCATCTCCAGTTATTCTGAGGAACCACTGCAGCCCTTGTGGTGAGGGTGCTCCCATTGTGGCATTGGGTAGAGATTCCCAGTGACAATAACAATAATCCTTGCATTTGATATAGTGCTTCACAGAATATACTATAAAGTGAATTGAATGTATATTTGTGACCGAAACGTGGCAGCCAATTGCGCACAGCAGTGTCCCACAAACAGTCGTGGATTGAGTGACCAAATTATTATTTTTTTTTGAGGGATTATTATCCCTGAAAAAGCAATCCGCCAATCAACTAACAACTGGGTTCCTACTTACTGCTAGGTAAACAGAGTCATGTGGAGTAAGGAAACAGAGGCGTGTGGAGACAAGAGTACTGTTGACATGAAACATAACCCTCTGTACTAATAGTCACAAAAAAAATCCACTGGTCAAAGACACGTCAGTGTCTGGGCAATTCATTAAAAATTCACTTTAATTTGGCTTTTCATGTCGATAGACAGAAATTAATGACGTAGCATCTATGTTAAAGAAGGTACACAGGGTTGGTCAGCATACAAAATGGAAACATTTAGTAAAGTGGTCACCCAGTCTTTGCTTGGTCTCAAAGATATAGAGGTAGACTGCGCCATGAGCAACACGGAAGAGTACTGGATTGGAGTGGTTACATGTCAATCATCAACTCACATGGAAAGGGTGTTTACGCCATGAACAGTAATTCAGATTCTATTCCCCTAACCTCTGGAACTCTCTGCCTCCCTTCCATCTCTATCCTCCCCTGCTTAATGTCCGAACCCATCATTGTCATGCGCTTTGAGATGTTGCCCTATGTGAAGGGTGCGATATAAATGTAATTTGTTGCAATGCAGGAAGAAACAAAGGGATATGCGTGGTATCTTTAGAGGAGAAACTATCTAGGGTGGAGGAGTTGGTAGTGGAAGTGATTACGGGAATCTAACAGCTTGGGGCTCAGTCAGAAGATGGTTATATTGCTATTCTGCAAAAAGAGATTGAATAAAACCAAAAGTCTTTATTCATCTCAATCTCTCCCATGCAATCATCACCTTAAAAGAGATCCATTTTACCACACAAAGACCTTCGCACGTTGCCCATTCCCTAGAGTTTCTCTAACAAGCAATTTGAAAATATATAATTTGGGGGGAAATTATTTTGCTCCAATTCAATTTCCCCCCCAAATTATATGGTTCAAAACATTTTCTACATTGGATTGAGGAGTCCTGTAGCTCAGTGGTTAGAGCACTCGCTTTGCAAGTGAGAGACCTGCGTTCAATTCCAGTCAGGGCGAAACCTTGGGCAAGTTTCCTTACTCCACACAGAGCCTAATAATAATCCCTCCAAAACCAAAACAATAATAAATTGGTTATTTTCAATCCATGACTGTTTGTGGGACACTGCTGTGCGCAATTGGCTGCCGCGTTCGCCCACAAATATACAGTCAATTCACTTTACAGTATATTCTGTGAAGCGCTTTGGGACATCTAGAAGACGTGAAAAGCGCTATATCAAAATGCAAGGATTATTATTATTATGAATCAGTTGTTGTGAGACTGTAGTTTAAAGACAATACATTTAATCTGTTGATACTATTCCAACACTAGGGAAAATAATTAACAGTAAATAGAAAACCATCAAATTAGCATTCGATATGAAAGGTGCACAATATTAAAGAAGATGTTCCTTATTACTTTTGTCTAATGGAATATTAAATGAATTTAATGATGTTCATTCTTCATGGAATATTATTGCAAGCAAGGGCTTGTATTTTTTTTCATAAATTGAATCTATGTAAAATATTCAAATAACGTGACTTGCAGCAAAATATTCACATCTGACAAAGATTGGATTAAAAAATGATCTGATATAAAGGATTTCACAAGCTGTATGTATATTTACCAAATCTTTTCAAGTGGTTTTTGGGAGGCTTTTTGCTTTGTGAAATATGAGTATTTCAGTATCTTACAAAAAAACAGTCTATTCACTTCACAGTATATTCTTTGAAGCACTTTGAGACGTTGCAGCAATGTGCTAAGGCCTATATCAAATACAAGGATGTATTATTACTATAGAAATAATACCAATATTCAATATGACCGCTACACATTTGTCTCATTTGATTGTGGCTTTGACCATTGAAGATACAATTTTCGGCTTTCTTCTGGGTACGAGACCGTACTTATAGGCAGTTTGTACATTTTCGGTTGTTTATTTTTCCCCAGTAAAAATAAAGTGATTGTTAAGGTAGAAGCCCAAGAAGCAGCAGGTAACCCAACCTAAATATGAACAAAACAAGGTCAAGCAGTGACTGTTCAAAGTGTGGAACTAATATTCACAGAATGCTATTTAGTGTGTTTGTGAGGCTTTTAATACAATTAAAATTCATCAAGATATTGCGCATAAAGGAGTGTGACATACCTCTATAGATCATAGATACAGAAAGGAGGCCATTCAGATCATTGATGCTTTTGTCAAGGCGTCAGCCTAGCTCAGCTGGTAATGGAGTTCTGAGTCAGAAGTTTGTGGATTCATGGACAGGATTTTGAACTTACATTAACCAGGCTGACACTCCAATATAGTGCTGGAGCTGTACAACATTGATGGAACTGCTGTCCTTCAGATGAAACATTAAACTGAGCACTCATTCCCCTGTTCAAGTGGATGTTACAGATCTCATGGCGTTATTCGACCAAAGAAGGGAGTTTCTCCTAGTCTTGGTCAACAATCACCCAAATAAAATTGATCATTCGCTTCATAACTGTTTGAAACACTCTGAGACATTTCGCCAACATGATAAGATGCTTCGTCAGATGCAAAAAATATTTTTTAAAAATGGCTTCTCTACTGGAGATATCCAATTTCAACTCTGTTAACATCAAATCATTCCTGCCGACTTAGTAACAATTTGGACAGGTTGTTCTGTCTCCATCGGTAATTGATATTTTTAACATGGACCATGTGTTTAATATTAGAACTGAGGTCAAAAACCATTTCCTCACACCAAGAGTAGAGAGAACAATACCACTAACAATAATCCTGCATTTGATATAGAGTCTTTTGCATGGGGAAAACATCTTGAAGTGCTTTACAGGGTTTTGCAGTTAAATGTACTGATTATAGGCAAACACAACAGCCAATTTTCACACATCAATCTCACACAACTAGCCATGAAGGGAATAACCAATTTTAACTGGGGCTTGTAGGCCAGGCCATCAAGAGAAACTCCCTTTGAATAGTTCCATGGGATCTTTAATATCTACCACTTGAACAGGCAGATCTTCCTTTATTGTCTTGGTTTATCAGCACCTCCAACAATGAGCTTGAACCCACAATCTTCTGACTCAAGGCTGAGAATGATGCCAACTGAGCTAAGCTAACACTTAAAATGTGGAGGTATCGAGATACTTGGGAAGAAGAGGTATTAAAGAGTGTGGTGAAAGGGTGAAGCATTGGGATTAAACAAACTGACAAGATCTAATAAACTTGTGGAACAGGTTTAATGGGCTGAACGGCCTCCTCCTTTTCCTGTTTTTTCTATGTTCCTGCAATATCATGTGTTTTATGATGCACTGAGAATAACAGAAACTGGCATTTCAAACGGTGGCAACATTTACTGCCTGATTTTTAAAGCACCAGAGAGTGAGTTATAAAAAACTGCAGCTTTAACTGAGAAAATAACTTTAATTTTTTTTCTTTCATGGCAAATCTTTTCCTTCCATTAAGCATGTATTTAAATTAAATAACAATAAAAATGAATCCTATGGAAATACGTATCTGAAGCTTTAACTCAATTATTACTGACAAAGGGAAGATTATGGATATTTTACCAGACTTCAGTAGGTAAGTCATTTTTTTCCTTTAAAATTATGAATATTAAATTCTACTTACCATTGCCAAGACATTTCGGAATGCTTGATCTGAATAAGAGGAGAAGAATGCTGTGGAAACATTAACAGGTTCAGTCACACATTGTTTAACTAATGTACTCAAATGATTATACTCTCCATTATGACTCTATCTTTGCAGTCTCCTTCAGTATTTTTCTCAAACTCGTACCCTCTGCTCTTCCGACTCTGGTCTGCTGTTTGATCCTCATTCAATCCCACTGCCCTACCTTATCCGCATACTCCTTGAAGCCTCTACCTTTCATACACTTGTCTACTTCCCACTTGAAACCTACAATGAACTATGCCTCAATAATAAATAATAATAATCCTTGCATTTTGATATTGCACCTTATCATGTTGAGGCGACTCAAAGGGCTTCACAGAATATATTGTAAAATGGATTGACTGTGTATTTAGTGGGTGAAACGCACAAACAGTTGTGGATTGAAGTGACCAATTTTTTTTGAAGGAATTATTACTCCCGGAAAAGCGATCCGCCAATCGACTAACAACCGGGTGCCTACTTACTGCTAGGTAAACAGAGGTGTGTGGAGTAAGGAAACTTGCCTAAGGTTTTGCCCTGCCTGGGAATCAAACCTGAGTCCTCTCGCTTGAGAGGGGAGAGCACTAACCACTTCGCTACAGTACTCTATCACCTTAATTGGGAAGGCATTTCACATCCAAGAAACCCTTGGTGTGAAAACTAGGCAAATGGCTATAAACTTCTATGCTTTCTACCCTTTAACTGCCTGCAAAACTGGGCTGTCAGCATTGTTACTTTCAGGACCACAGTGCATGTGCTGATAATGAACAGACCTGGTCAGGCCACAGATACAGGAGTCTCCATAGACCTCCCAGCAGAAAGGAAGCTTCATTCTGCATCTAACCTCTGCTACAGCTGACATGAAAGTACTTAACGTTGACACATTGCGCTTGAAATGTTCCATTTCCCAGCACTAACACCCCTCACACTGACAATCACAAACATGCACCAAAACATCCATGTCAGTTATATTGTATAAAATTATTCGTGCTAATGTTGGATTCATAATAGATATGAAATGCATAAGATAAACTATACCTTTAGAAACTCCCGAGGGTGATTTTTGCAACAAAAAGTATGTGGAATAAATTTTCCTTCTAACGTAAACAATTTATGTGTTTAGATACTATGATGCAGAACCCAAACATTAATCTCTGCAAGCACATCACCCCAATCCTCTCCAGTGGCTCCCTGTATCAGACCCACTTGTTGCCCCCTTTCACTCAACTGACACAATCCTGCTATGCTTCAACTACAACAACAAATTACATTTGCAAAGCGCCTTTCACATCGGGAGGACATCCCAAGGCACTTCCCCCGACCCCTCTGCTCCACGATAGGTGATTGTACCTTCAGCTACTATGTTCTTAATCTCTGGAACTCGCTGCCTCAATCCCATCCCCCATTTATCTACCTTTAAATCCTACCTGAAGATCTACCTTTTCAACCATGCCTACAGTCACTTCCCCCTCTCCCCCGCTTGGTGTTCAAAGCTGCCGCTGTACAGCGCTCTGAGATGCTAACCTGTGTGAAGGGTGCTTTATAAATGCAAGCTGTTGTTTCTTTTCCCAGCCCAAGCAGTCAAGTTATTTGCATAATTGGGTATATACACTCTCATATTGTTGGGTTGTTCCTTTTCGTTAGCCGAGTGTCTAACACGTGCAAAGACCCATCACCATGCTTATTGTTGGGTTGACTGTCGTTTCCATCCCCAGCTCGGCTGCTGTCCAGCAGGCACTTTGAGACGTCCTCCCGCCGTGAAAGGCGCTGCATGTAAATTGTACTGTAATATTTTAGGGCTCCCCACTGTATTGCCCAAATCAAATGCAAAAAGCTATGTGAGCCACAACACAGTGACCAACGATACCAAAGCAATTTTGTTTATCTTCAATCTCCTTTTTCTGATCTAATTAAAATATGTAACATTGAAATAAAGTAATGCAAAAAATATAAATGAAATATGCTCGATCTGTAACAAACATTCTTTATGACTATTTGAGAGACCTTTCAACCAATGTAAGTGTGTTTCCTGGAAGAATTCATCACCAGATTGTCTGTTTATATGCCAAACTTTGTTTGTTAACCTTATTAAAATCTGATCCTACACATTTTATGATGGCCAATCCCACATCTTGCAATTAGCAAAGCAGTATTTTGCATTTTAAGCTACACAATTTGACACAATGACTATCAATGCCAATATCTCAACCTCTCATTACTTTCTCAGATACAAAAATCACTTGCACTCTACAACAACATGCATTTATGTGGCACCCTTCACACAGAATGGGATAGACTCTATACAGGTGAATGAGAAGCATCCTATAGGACAGAGATTCTTAACCTTTCTGATACCAGCGATTGCCTCAATTTCTTCTTAAAATGTGGTGGACCATTAATCACAAGATCACAAGATTACTTTCGATAAAGAAGGCCATTTGATCTATTTGATCCCATTCCCCCCGAACACCTTGACCTCCCATCACAATATCTAGCTGTTTTTTTTAAATGAATCCAATATCAACTTCAATAAAGAAAAACTTCCTGGTATCTATCCTGAAATTGCCCTTTGCAACTCTAAACCTATGTTTCGATGCATCGTGAAGCATTTTTCTGGATTTACTTTTTCAATCTCAATTAAGAATGTTTACAACTCTATAAGGTCTAAATGAGTCTGTCATGTCACTCAGTCTAAGTGGATCTCTGGTATTGACCTGCTAATGGGCTATGGACCTGGAACCACTTCGATGACAGGTTGATTGGAAAACGCTGCTATAGGGGATAGAGGCACAACAACAACAAATTACATTTACATAGTGCCCTTCATGTAGGATAACATCTTGGAGTATTTTACAAAGATCAGGGAAGAATCTAAGTGAGCGGTACGGTGGCAGGGGACCACAGGAAGGGTCCTACTCTTGTTAAACTGAGAAACACAGTTGTAATGAAACATTATGGCAGTCTCAAGTTTAGCACAATCCTAAAGAGCAATGCTTTTTCTCTCAGACAAATTAGGCAGTACAGTATGTCCGGACTAAGGGATCACTTTCTAAATCGCATTAAAAAAGAACTCGAGGTTCATTATAAAAAGAAAAAACCACCAGTACAGTACAGACTAAGATGATCACTGGGGGTTTTACAGTTGTAGCAGCTAAAAATTGAAATAGGACTCACTGGTAATTGAATACATACTGGACATGTTTTCTGCCTTTGTCATAGAAAAATAATCATTTCCACAGAGGGTAGTTGCATTAAGAGAAATTTCTTTGTCAAAAAAAACAGGACGTGCTGAAAATGCACCCCAAATGAATCAGTATCTGAATGAGAAATCCATGGCAACTTTTCGAGTTTAACCGTACATCAGGAGGGAATTACACCAAATTTATTTCAATCTCACCCAATAGTGAATAAATATACACCTGATTCTCAGCAGCCGAGTGTGCAAGGGAATTTGCAGCTTCTTGAGAGTGTCTGTATCTGAAGCTTAACAGCGCAATGGGGAGAGATTCCAATCTCATTGTAAGTATATATCAACTAAGCCCTACTACCTCAGTGGAGTAAAGTATAATATGGCAATTATTAATTTCTCTGATTCTAGCTTATCCAGGCTTAAAGCTTCAAATGGGATGACTCCATCTAATCCTTATGCAACTTTTGTATATATTATGATCTTAAAAAAAAGCACAGGATGTTGTGTAATTTTGATGTATGGTTAAACTCACAATGTTGCTCTAGATTTCTCATTCAGATACTGATTAACGTGGTGTGCATTTCAAACGTGACCTGTTTTTATTTTGGATACTCATGTATTTTTTAAACTGTATAAAATGGTTTCTTATTAAAGCTGAATTTTATATATTTTTTAACCTTTTTTTTCATTAGCTAGAGGTCATACACATGGAAACCCATCACAATGTTTAACATCATCCAAACAAATTGCTCAGAGGTTCCCCATATGTTTGGAAATCTCCACGTATCTGGAATGGAGTGTGCACTCTCTGTCTGGGTTTGACGCACCCAACTCACATATCCCAGAAATGTTTAAGTGGAAGTTGGCTACAGCCAAGGCTTGGGGACTCTAGAATGTGTTGGAGGTATTGCAGGTTAATCAGCATCAGAACGAGATATAGATCAGCTAAATCTGTTCAGCTTCCGATCATGAACACTGGCTGGCCAGCTTCGCTTTGCTTATCCATTGGGAGACCTCGCTTACTTTCCATCAAGGAGGATAGCCCAATAGATCAAAATCCCCTGAAACCAAACCTTAACCCATTAGTGCAACTTTAGACTTTGAAAATTAAGTAAACTTTAGTTAAGCCAGTGTTCCCTGAACCAAGTGGTAAAGTATAATTGTTTGCTGGCCAGCAACAGCTGGCATTTTGTCACAACCATTTTAACAATGTAACAGAGAGGGTCATCATTATTACATCCATGATCAGAATGTGCCATACTGACATGCTAATGAAGCGCTTTAGGATGTTCCCCTGATGTGAAGGCGTTATATAGATATAAATCCGTCTACTTTGTATTTTTGAAATGGGTGCTTCTTATTGATCATTCAAGGAACAGAAATGCTGTACTCACCACATGCAATTGCGAGGAGATGAGTCTGCCAAGTTAGGACATAGAAGAGGCCTCCAATAGTCATACATGCCAGAACACCATTAAAGGTAGCGAGTCCATTGTAGAGTAGTTCAAAGGGCACTCCAAGTGACAATCCTAAAATAAGAGAAAATAAAAGGATATCATTAAAGATCGCACACTCTCATCCAGGACTTGATGTCTGACAGACATTCTGTTAGGACAGCAGTGGCCCTGGAGTCAAGGGTGGAAGCAGAGAGATAGAGTTGGGCGTCATCCGCATACATGTGGAAGTTGGCCACATGTTTTGCGGATGATGTCACCAAGAGGGAACATGTGCCAGACAGTATTAAGCATAGGTTGGCAATTGCCAAGGCTTTGAGACACCAAAATATGCATTGGAATACTGGTGGAACTAAAACCACATATTTTGCTATTGAGAATGGACAGTATCAACAACCCTCTGGGATAAAAGCAAGCATTATAGTCCAGAATATCAACAGCTTGTTCTCTTTATTGTGTCTGTGTAGATTTCACACTGTTTTCTCTCTGTCTTTTGGGGTTTCTAACCTAGTAGTTCATGTGCAACGTCTGGAACAAAATATCTTGCATGCCAATAGCTTAGAATCATAGAATCATAGACTTATACAGCACAGAAGGAGGACATTTGACCCATTGAGTTTGTGCCGGCTCTTTGAAAAGAGCTATCCAAATCAATCTCACTCTCTCCCCATAGCCAAGACTTGTCCACCCCAAATAATTATCTATCTCTCTTTTAAAAGTTGTTATCGAATCAGCTTCCACCACCCTTTCAGGCAATATTTTCCAGATCCAAACAACTCGCTGTGTGAAAACATTTCTCCTCACCTCCCCTTTGTTTCTTTTAACAATTATTTTAAATCAGTGTCAAGTTAGCTCACTTTTCTCTCTCCATTGATGCTGCCTGACCTGCTGAGTGTTCCCAGTGACTTCTCTTTTTATTTCAGATTTCCAGCATCTGCAGTATTTTGCCCTTTTTTAAATTTCATTCTGACTTGGTCGATAACAGGTGGAAACTCAATTGCGGCAATGTACACGCTGCCAATGGATGTTACCATTGTATTGAATGGTCAGTTCCACTGTTGCTGTAAGTGGTGTGTGCATTGCTATTTGTCCACCTAAATGGTGGCAAATTGGTTGCCACCAAAATAGAGTCACTACACTTTACGATAAATCTTGTGAAGCACTTTGAGACGACCTCCCACATGCAAGAATTGTTATTTTAGTGTGATGTGTGGATACAGGCACATTCACTTTCCGACTCTGGTGTGAGTGCCATAGGAAGAGTACAAGATTTCGAAGGCTCCAAATTCCACCTAGTCTTAGCGTGCAAGGCCATTTTGTGAACTGTGAAAAATTCTTAAATGCCATCTTAATTTACAAACTTTTTTAAGAACTACAGTAAATGACTTCCAAATTAAGATTTGTTTTAAGAAGCTTCCACATTTTCTGTGCAGCTGATCTTAAATTTTGAGACAAAATGTTCCTAGAGTCCACCCTGATGTACTAATTAACACAAAGATTCAGCTCAAAAGTCACTAACAGCTTATAAAGTGCTGGAGAGGATGGGGGGAGAGGAGGGGAGGAACGCTGTGTAGGATATAAAGCTTATTTCTGAGTTTATCTGCATACAGGCATTTGAAAGACAAAGATATTGAGATTTGTGGTACAACAGATATGACCGATGGGAAGCACAGAAGTAAAAAACAATAGTAAAATGTGAACGTGTTCAGATATACAATAATAATAATTCTTGCCATTGATATAGTGCCTTATCACATCTTTGAGATGTCTCAAAGCATATCACAGAATATACTGTAAAGTGAATTGACTGTACATCAACATATGTTGAAGTCGGCATTAACCATTTTCAGATTTCAACCTTTTCCCCTCTGCCAAGAGGAAGGCAAAATATCTTGCAGAATGTGTGAAATAAAACGTGGCTTACCTGCTGCAATACCCACTGCAGAGCCTACGATAACATGTGCACAAAGGATGGGAGATGATAGAAAAACTGCCATTAAGATAATCACAGAAGGCCAAAAGTTATCACAGCCATAGATTTGGCCTGCTCCAATTGGGATTGCCCTCAAAAGCTGCAACGAGGAACAAAATTACATTTCAGTGATTCAATTTTAGAAAGTGATTAAATAAGTACAGAGTCATTGGCCTCCAACAGCGTTTCTAATCCATTAGTTTGAATATTTCACATTTTATCATAAATTGGTTTGATGCTAATCTGCAAAGCAACATGAGTGTAATATGATTGAGAGGGACCTTAGAGATGCTTAAAATGATGAAAGTATTCAATAAGGTGGACATTAATAGGCTGTTTTCCCTGTTCAATTCTCTGCTTTGCCCCCTCTTTATCTATCTTTAAATTCCACATTAAGACCTATTTCTTTGACTGCACTTACAGTAACCTCCTCTGAAGGACAGCACCTCCAACAATGCACTGGAATGCTAACTTCTATTATGAGCTGAAAAGTGTTCAGTTTGCTTATGCTAACTATCCAGAAATGGGGAACTGTGAATTGTTTATTATTTGTACTTGAAATATTACAAGTATTACCATGTGTTAAATTCTTCTACCACATACAGAATTTATCCTTAATAACTTATTCATAATAAAATAAAAAAAGACATAGTCGTAACATGATTGAAGTAAGAGCCTCATAAAAATGTGACACATTTGTAGTTTAATGCTCGTCTGATGAATGTGTCTTTTTTTTCTTTAGCAGATTCACAAATAATATTAATGTTTGAATTGCTTTAGTGCTCATAGAAAGACTTTGTCTTCCAGCTGTTAGGGGGTGGTGGGACTATTTAAATCATAAGCAGTGGTGAGTGAAGTGCCTCCAGTGTTAATTTGCTAAAAAAAAATCTATTGGCCAGAATCCCAATGGAACACATAAATGTTTAGTTTTGGCATCAGTGCTCTGTCATCAAACTGTGTTTTGAAAAGACTGAAAAAAGACGACAGTTCTTAAGTTTCGGTCTTTTTAAGATATCCGAAAAAAAAGTTATCCGAAAATAGAAACATTCTGGAGAGTAGCTCACAGCCCACAGGCTAGCCAACAGGCAAATGACAAGAGCATAGTTACATGGAATGACACATCACGGAAACAGCCAATTCAATTCAACTAGTCAGTACTGGTATTTATACCCCCAGCCTCACCCCACCCCAAGCCTCCATTTCCATCTCCTATAACCCTCTGTTCCGTTCTCCCTCACATAAGTGTCAAGTTTCCTCTTACATTGGAAACTGAGCTAGTAAAGGGAGGGGGGAGGTGATCATATGCGTGGTCGAAGAGGAAGGTTTTAAGGTGGATTTGCACATCATAGAATTATACATCACAGAAGGAGGCCATTCAGCCCATCATGTCTGTGTTGGCTCTTTGAAAAGAAAAGGTAGAAGTAGAGAAGGGGCGAGATAGAAGGATAGAGGCAGAGAATTTCAGAAGTTGGCCACTGATGGTGGGGAACACCTTTAACTGTGCGTAGGGGGAGTTGGGTCTGAGGAGATCGGAGAAATAGGGAGGTGCTGGGGCATGAAGACCTTGCACTGCACATCCCCAGCACTGCATTGGAATGTCAACTTGGATTGTGAGTTCCAAGACACGGCGTGGGGCATTTTGTGCCTGATTGAGGGGCTGCTTCATGATATATCGTCTGAACTTAAATTGGTTTAAGCTGGTCGTCTGTGAACTGCCCTCCTTTCTGATACAAAATCACTACACTGGCCACTGGAAGAAAGATGGTGCCTTCCCATCAAATCTAAATCTGTTATGAAACATCACATTTTGGTCCCGATATTATTTCGTGGAAATGATCACATTATGATGGATTCATAAATGGAAATAAAATTGCTCTGAAGGACTGTCTGGATTTCAGTGCTGACATTTACAGGTCAACGCTTAGCGAAATCTGGACCCTGTGAATTTCAAAATTTATGGCGTCTGCATTTAGGAGCAAAGGCATTGAAGCAGAAATTCGGATAAGACAGGAGAGTGGTAAATGGGAAAGCATGGGCCGTGGAGGCAGTGGAGGTAGGTGCAAATCATTGTCTTTAAGATGAATTTTATGATGTTGTATGATCAAAATTATAGATTTGTTTAAACAAAAGTTGGTTGGAAAGATTATCTGCAGGGAACTGAGTAACAATTATCTTTTATTTATTTGCCAGTTCCACTGTGGGCCTATGAAATTACCGATATAATGAATACAGCAGCTTTGACAAATTGCAGCCTGCACCACTTAAGTTACTATGGATATCCTTTTCAGGAATAGAATGTGCGAATTAAATCTAGTGCAATCCTATATTTTCAGCGCTAAATACAATACTGAATCATAAGCAGGCTGTTGGCATTTACCATATCCCTGCTTCCTAATAATGTAATTCAATATTTCAACAAAATAATTCTACATTATTTCCTCAGCTGCACTGTTGCACTGTTCACAAATGCAGCCATTCCAAACGCCAGCCTAAATTTCAACCGAATGCTCCTGAGCAGGCTGTCTTTGGGGATAAACAGCAATGCATTATAGAGAAGCAGCAATTTTATATTGTTGCTCTTTAGTGAGGGAGCAATAAACAGTGCTCATTATATTAGAGGTCAGGGCAGTGTATGCGGTGCATCATATTATTATCCTAAAACGCTGCGCATTAGATACAATTGTAGCTTTATTATGCTATTGATCATACGATCAATCTACTAGTGTTCAGCAGCAGAAAGATACCTTTCTTGTTCTGCAGTCAAAGCAGATACTCTGGCGAACTTGCGGGCTCTTTATCTAATGCTCAGCTCCACTAGCTCTTATCTTTCACTCACCATGAGTACGTTTAGCTCTGGTGCTGTGACATTAGTTGGTGTAGTCTGTGGCCCGATGTGAACTTGAGGGAAATGTTGATTGTTGCGGCCAGTGGCCCCTGAGTACAAGATCAGCATAGTGTTGAAGGGGAAAGCGAGGACAGGCAGGTCCCACGGTTCAAAGAGTGACTTTAACCCACTGAAGATGAAAGTGCTGGAAGTGAAATACAGGGGTGAAATTAATGGCGTTTCATATGATACTTATCATGTCATACCTGTTGTGAAATACTTACAAATTCTACACTCCATAAGTTAAACCATTTGCAAAATTTGTAAGAATTCTTATATTTGATATAACAACACTGGGTAGCATCTCAGAGCACTGAACAATGGCATGTTTAACACCGAGCTGGAGAGAAAGGGGAGGTGACCGTAGGTACAGTTGAAGAGGAAAGACTGCTGAAGATGGCATTCATATGTGGAACTCTCAGTCTGCCTTGCAGACTCTTAATAACGAGAGACGATTGTAGTTTTATTACGCTCTTGAGCCTATGATCAACCTACTTGTGCTGAGCAGCAGAAAGATTAAAAGAAAGATAGAAAGATGAAATCTACAGCGATGAGTTTTAACGCGTGTCAGGCAACCCAGATGGCACGCCAAATTTCACCCAAAACATAACTCTGCATTGAACTGTTTGTTATTCAGCTCCTTGGCACGTCCTTCTGACATGAAATGTAATTGGCGGCTTGTTGTTGTAATGTTTATAACATACCATGAGGCGGCCATCAGACAAGAAGGTATCAGCAGCCACCAATACCAGTCGCCTTTGTCACTGAACAGTGCTATCAGGATTCCAACCAGCATCCCGTTGTAGCCGTGGCGGCCTGCTGCGATGTCCTCGCTGTGTAACAAGATCAAAATGGATAAGCACTGGAAGTGAATCTACATCTACTTGGCTGGGTGAAGATTATTAAAATCCTGCAAGTGATAAATTGTCAGAAACATCCATCTGTGTTATGATAATAATAAATGATTATCTTTACATTTGTTATATAGCGCCTTATCATGTCTTCAAGACGTCTCAGAGCGCTTCACAGAATATACTGTAAAGTGAATTGACTGTGTATTTTGTGGGCGAAACGCGGCAGCCAATTGCACACAACAGTGTTCTACAAACAGTCAGATTGAGTGTCCAAATTATTATTCTTTTTAATGGATTATTAAAGCTAGCAAGTGTGTACATTTACCGAAAGAATGTAAGCTTAAAAACAATTCTGGGGAGGTGGGGAGGGAAATGCGACACATGATGTGCTAGTTATTACTTGTGATAATTAGCACATCACGTAGCCATTGTTTCAACACACAAGAAATTACATCTTAGCCACAAAATAATGTTTTTTTACAGAAACACTGCAGGATAAGATAATTTATCGAGCTAGAAAGTAATTTTGCTTAGAAGCTCCCTTATATAAACTGCCAGAACAAATTTAAAACAAACAAGGCTACTGGTACCTAGATTAAATGAGATAAATGAGTCATAAAGCAACTAACAAAGGAAGGCTGAACTGGTGCAAATTGAAGCTATGGTTTAATGGCAGTAATATTCATTACATTACAGGTGATTTCAGGTGCAGCGTCTGACCATCACAAGCTAACTTGTGTCCAGCTGGAGTGTTATATGTTATATGAAGTGCATACGTCACAGCTGCCTTAGCCTGAAGATATCAGAGTGGTTTATTATTCACGGTGGAGTAAAGTTTTTTTTTGGCCTGGCATCAAAACACAACATTACATTAAAGCATTTGATGTAATGTTTTTTCCTCCCGTGAATATATCAGTCTACCTTACTATTGAACCACAGAAGTTTACGAAGGCGGCCAATTCGTCTCATTGGGTCTGTGCTGGTTCTGTTAAAGAGCAATCCTTTCAGTCCCATTTTCCTGCTCTTTCCCCATATCCTTGTTCTCAAATATTGATCTGGTACCCTTTTGAAAGTCAATATGGATTCTGCCTCAACCCTTGTTCCTGGCAGGTGAAGCGTGTAGCAAGGAGAATACAATAATAATGGGTGATTTCAGTTTTCATATGGAAAATTGGCAAACAACAACAATAACATTACATTTGTATAGCGCCTTCACGTCGGGAGGACGTCCCAAGGTGATGGACAGAGTACAGCGTTTCAGACCCGAGCTGGGGTCGGAGGGGGAGAAGGGAGGGGAGGGGAAGGGGGATGGCTGATGGCATGGTCGAAGAGGAGGGTTTTGAGGCGGGACTTGAAGAAGGCTAAGGAGGGGGTGAAGCAGAGTGACTGGGGAATGGAATTCCAGAGGTCGGGGACAGAGTGGCTGAAGGCTCTCCCGCCAATGGTGGGGCGGGTAGGACAGGGGACGTGGAGCAGGCCAGAGCCGTCTTTTAGAACAGAGTTGAGGAAACATTTCTTGACTCAGAGGGTAGTGAATTTATGGAATTCACTACCCCAGAAGGTAAGAACATCTTCAAGGCTGAGATTGATAGATTTTTTAAAAATAGAGGGATTAGGGGATATGGGGACAGGGCAGGTAATTAGAGTTAGGTCTGAAGATCAGCCATGATCTTATCGAATGGCGGGGCAGGCTCGAGGGGCCGAATGGCCTATTCCTGCTCCTAATTCTTATGTTCTTGTATTCTTAAGATGGAATTTAACATTAACTTAGAGAGTGATATAGTTGAATCCGAAGCAAAGGTCTTAAATCTAAATAAAGCCGGTATGAGAGAAGATTTGGCTAACATAGACTGGGAAATTAGATTAAAAAATATGACGTTAGATCAGCAATGACAAGTGTTTAAAGATATATTACATATTTCCCAGTGATCACATATTCCCTTGAAAAATAAAAATACCATGGGAAAGTGGTTCAACCTTGACTAACTAGAGAAGTTAGGAAAAGTATAAAATTAAAAGAAGAGGCCTATAGCACTGCCAAAAAGAGCAGTAAACCTGAGGATTGAGAGGGCTTTAGAGATCAGCATAGGAAAACTGAGAAACTGATTAAGAGGGAGAAAATGGAATATGAGAGTAAACTAGCTAAGAACTAAAGACAGATCTTAAGAGTTTTTACAAGTACATAAAGAGGAAGAGACTATCAAAAGTGAATGTGGGTCCATTGTAGGCAGAGACAGGAGAAATTATAAAAGGGAATAATGAAATGGCAGAGTCATTAAACAATTATTTTGCTTCTGTCCTTTCCAACCATTCACTATTCGAACCCCTTCAATCGGGTTTCCGTGCTGCCCATAGCACAGAAACTGCCCTGGTCAAGGTCACCAATGACATCCTGACCATCTGTGACCAGGGCTCCCTCTGCCTCCTCGTCCTCCTCGACCTATCGGCAGCATTCGATACGGTCGACCATGCTATCCTCCTCCACTGCTTGTCCTCCCACCTAAACCTTCAAGGCCCTGTCCTTGAGTGGTTTAGGTCGTACCTCTCCCACCGTCTTCACTTTGTCTCCACAAATGGTTTTTCCTCCGGCCCCCGCACTGTCTCGTGCGGTGTCCCTCAAGGCTCTGTCCTCGGTCCCCTCCTCTTCACCCTCTATATGCTCCCCCTTGGTGACATCATCCGCAGACATGGGGTTAACTTCCACATGTATGTGGATGACACCCAACTCTACCTTTCCTCCTCTACCCTCAACTCCACGACCACCGATGTCCTGACAGTCTGCCTGTCCGACATCGAGTCCTGGACGAGAGATAACTTTCTCCAGCTCAACGTGCGCAAAACTGAGGCCCTCCTGATTGGCTCACGTCAGCGCCTCCACACCTCAGGCGCTGACAGCATCAGCATCCAAGGCTGCACTCTCCACCTCTCAAAGGCAGTCAGGAACCTCGGGGTTCTGTTCGACCCTGAGCTGTCCTTTCTCCCTCATATCCGCGCCACAACTGGCACCGCCTTCCATCACCTCCGGAATGTCGCCAGACTACGGCACTACCTCACCCCTCACGCTGCTGAAACTCTGGTCCACGCCTTTATCACCTCAAGGCTGGACTATGGGAACTCTCTCCTCGCCGGCCTTCCCGGCACCTCCCTCCACAAGCTGCAGGTCATTCAGAACTCTGCAGCTCGTGTACTGTCCCGCACCAGGCTTCGCGACCACATTACTCCCACCCTCGCTCGCCTCCACTGGCTCCCCATCCCCCAGAGGATCGAATTCAAGATCCTCACCCTCACCTACAAGGCCATTCACGGCCTTGCTCCCTCCTACCTCTCCGACCTACTATCCCCTACCTACCTGCCCGTACCCTCCGTTCCTCTGGCTCCGGTCTGCTCCACATCCCCCACCCCAACCGCCCTACCATCGGTGGCCGGGCCTTCAGCCTCTCAGCCCCTAGGCTCTGGAACTCTATCCCCCAGTGCCTTCGCCGCCTCCTCCCTTTCCTCCTTCAAGGACAGTCTCAAGACCTTTCTCTTTGACCGTGCCTTCAGCTCCCTTCTCGACTCTCTACCCCCTCCTCGCTCCCTCCCTTCCCTCCCCTCACCCTGACCATTTCCCCCTTGCTCGGGTCCTGACCCAACTGTACAGCGCCTTGGGACGTCCTCCCGACGTGAAAGGCACTCAATAAATGGAATCTTGTTGTTGTTGTTGTTGTTGTCTGTCCTCACGTTAGAGGACACTGAGAACTTACCAAAAATAGAGGGGATCCTGGAGGTTAATGTTGGTGAGGAACTTAAAGAAATGAACATCAGTAAAGCAATAGTACTAGAGAAATTGACAGAATTAAAAACCAATAAATCCTCTGGACCTGATGGCCTACATCCTAGGGTTTTAAAAGAGGTGGCTGCAGAGATAGTGGATGCTTTGTTTATGATCTTTCAAAATTCCTTGGATTCTGGAACGGTTCCCATTGATTGGAAGGTCGCAAACTTAACGCCAATATTTAAGAAGGGTGGGCGACAAAAAATGAGTAACTATAGACCAGTTAGTCTAACATCGGTGATAGGGAAAATTCTAGAGTCCTTAATTAGGGACATCGTCGTGGGGTAGTTAGAAATTCATAGCATGATTAGACAGAGTCAACAAGGCTTTACGAAAGGGAAATCATTCTTAACAAATCTTATAGAGTTTTTGGAGGATGTAACTAGCAGGTTAGATAGGGGGGAACCAGTAGATGTGGTGTATTTGGATTTCCAGGAGGCATTCAACGAGGTGCCACATAAAAAGCTGTTGCATAAGATTAGAACCCATGGAATTAAAGGTAATATATTAGCATGGATTGGAGAGTGGCTAATAGGAAGAAAACAGAGTGGGGATAAACGGGTCTTTCTCAGATTGGCAGGTTGTGACTAGTGGAGTGCCACAAGGATCAGTGCTTGGACCTCAATTATTTACAGTTTATATCAATGACTTAGATGAGGAAATAGAATTTAACATATCTAAATTCACGGATGATACGAAGATAGGTGGGAGAGTAAGCTGTGAGGATGACACACGAAGAATGCAAAGGGAAATAGACAGGCGAGGTGAATGGGCAAGAAGGTGGCAGATGGATTATAACGTGGGGAAGTGTGAAGTTATTCACCTATGTAGTAAAAATAGAAAAGGGGATTATTTTCTAGAGGGGAGAGACTAGGTAGGGTTAGTGTTCAGAGGGATTCGGGTGACCTTGTACACCAGTCACAAAAAGTTAGTATGCAGGTACAACAAGCAATTAGGAAGGCTAATGCCTTGTTGGCGTTCGTTGCAAAAGGGTTAGAGTACAAGAGTAGGGAAGTTTTGCTGCAGTTGTATAAGGCCTTGGTTAGACCACTCCTAGAATATTGTGTGCAGTTTTGATCTCCTTATTTAGGAAAGGACATACTCGGCTTAGAGGTGGTGCAGCATAGATTCACTAGGTTGGTTCCTGGGATGAGGGGGTTGACCT